GGGATGAACTAAAAGGGAAGCTGAGAGCCAGGCCTTCTCATCCAACATCAATGTGTGACCTCACAAATATGCTTCTGGAAGAATGGTCAGAAATCCCCACCAACACACTCCTAGACCTTGTGGACAGCCTTCCCAGATGAATTGAAACTGTTCTAGCTGCAAAGGGTGAACCAACGTCTTATTGAACCCTATGGATTAGGAACAAGATGTCACTAAAGCTCATCGTCAAGGCAGATGAGCGAATACTTTGGCAATATAGTGTTCATGATAATTCAACTAGCAAAATTAGGAAATACATTTTGCTCCTAATAATAGCTAAATTTAAGACTATAGACATTACTGACAAAACATTGAAAATAGCATCACAGTGAGAGACTGTGGGGTGGAGTATTGCAAGAAACTTTGATTTTGATTTTAGCTGCGCAGAACTTCATGTTTATACTTGAGATGTTTTTTTTTTTCCCTGAAAATGTGCAAATATAGGTTTGTATGTGGTGACTTTGTGTCATGTCTTTGGCCTAGACTGGTGCGCACTGCCTCATGTCTTATATCTGAAGAAAGAAAACATTTACACAATTAACTGCTAAAATTAAATTACTTCAGTGTTTTTTCAGTTTTGTGCTCTTAATGAATTACTAAAAAAATAGTTTTTTTTAAGAGATCAAAGACATTAGTGATATGAAGAGGTTTATCATTACAACCAGTTTTGTGTCAGAGCATCTCCTCAGCAACATCTGTAACCATAGAAACGGTACCATCTTCCGCTTTGGTTTGTGTCGGGAGCAGAAATTCATCCATCCATGAAATCTATCAAATGAAAGCTTGGATTAAATCTGAATATGTAGTTTTTTTTAGAACTGAAACTCTTCTATTTCATCCAAATAAATTAGGTTAAAAAATATAAAGTTCTTAAAAGCTACACATCAGATTCCACGAGAAAGTATATATACTTTTTAAATTCTTGGTTGCGTGTAAAATGCTTGTTTAATGTAGTTGTAAGATTATATCACTAAGGAAACTGTCATATTTGTTGCTCCACCACTATTTCTGATGTTATCTTGTCACCTGTCTGAACACTGAGTCATCTTGTTATTTTTTGCTGCTGTTTTTAGCCTTCTTGAAATGTAATTACCAAGCATTTGGTGCCACCAAGTGGTGAATTAATGTAAAGGTATCATGTAGAGATATTTTTGTCAATGTCTGTTAAAATAAACTTTTTTTAAGTAACTGATAAATGGAGCAGAATTAAAGATCTAAAAACATTTTGAAAACGAGGAGCTGACAACCTTGTGTGTCTAACCATCAGAGGATATGATCCCATACTACATGACATTCATTTCACATAGAAATAAGTTTGGCAAACCCTAAAATCATCTGGTGAGAATTTAATTATATCCACCGTAGAAGTACATGTGGACGTTTTCTATCAATATTAATCCACTATCCAAAGTATACCTGAAGAGTGGGTCATTAATTATACTTTATTCCAATTAATAACCTAAATATAGATTTCTGTTGTGTTTTTAGAAACTAATTTCTTTATCAAAGGAGGTTCTGTTGGACTAAATTTTCAAACTGCTGCAGTTTTCTTCTCCCATTACATTTTAACACAAACACACTTGGTCATTAGTTATGCCTGTTCGACTGCTGCTGACACAAATAATGAAGCAAACAATCAAATGGCAGCTACTGAATGCATTTGCACATCTAAATGTCATAAAGACAACTTGTTGGAGTTTAAATCAAGCGTCAGAATAGGGAAAAAACAGATATTTAATAGACTTTGAACTGGTTGTTTGAGGTACACATTCAGAGCTCTGACTTTCAGAAACCGCTGATCTAGTGGGATTTTAACATGCAACCATTTCTTAGGCCCAAAACACACTGCCTGCATCTGCCTTTTCATGCTCTGACCAGATGACACATCTGGATCTGGAGGCACACATCTAAAAGTTGCAGCATGGTGGCTCTCAAGGTCTTGACTTGACACCCAGCTCCATGAAAATAAGACATAAACTCAGAGAACTGACACTCCAAAATCATGACAATAACAGTTTATTTATTTTCCCTTATAAAAATACAAAACTCAATAGATATAAATGTAAAAACTTGCAATGTGAAAGCAGAATTGCAAAGCTCGTGAAAGTAGTTTATCAGAAGCATTAAGATGATAATTATTTAGCAAGAAAAAGCTTTTAGGAAATCAATAAAGCACTTCAGCCTCACAAAAATACAATTGTCTGTACATAATGTAAGACCCAATATTTGGTACACTCTTAATCATTTCTGTGTTTTATAAAAGAACTCATTACAGTAAATGTCCTCAGTTGAAATGTTTCCATATTGAGCTTCATCTTCATAATTTGGGTCCTCAGAGCTGGAACTGGTGCAGGCCCTCTGCTGTGACTGCATCGCAAGAGCATCATGATTTTCGTAAATCTATAATAGAAGGAAGAGATCACAGATCAATCCATGCAGGAAGCAGGGGTGGCATGCCCTGCTCAGATTACATTATGTTTCATTTTGATTAATTTCATTGGCCTGATATTTTAGCTGAGCCCACTTTAGGTGAGAAAGTGGCTTGAGTTACATGCTGACATTTTCAGCCCTTTAAGAGTGTTTCCAACTCAGGAACATGCATAAAGCTCTAGAACAGTGGTTCTTAACCTGGGTTCGATCGAACCCCAGGGATTTGGTGAGTCGGTCTCAGGGGTTCGGCGGAGCCTCCATAGACATAATACAAGAGTAGACCCCGCATTGGCCGCTCCAGCGCAGGAAATACGGCGGCCATCTTGAAGCGGTATACCCTCCTACTTTGCTTAATCAAAACAGTAGAAGATGCCTCTGCACTGAGGGATATTTTTGTTCTGATCGATGTATTATTGATGTGAGGGCTCCACAGACAACATTTCACAAGTAAGATGGACATATTATTGTGTATATATTGTGATTAGAATATTACTTTGCTGTATTTATGTCCACCGGCGAGATACCAGCTAATATTAGCTACAGTGCTTGGTGTAATACGGGTTCAGCCCCGCTATGAAGGCTAACTGAGATTCCGTAAATCTAAAAAAATTAATTATTCTCTAACATTGACTTAGATTATCTAGGTGGCACAAGTAAGGTGGCCATGGGTGCCACAGGCTGCTAACCTCATTCTCTATCTGTTTCAGATAGAATGTAGCATATGAATAACTTTAGTTCAAACAAATAGAAATAAAATATATCTTAATTCCAACATAATTCTCATACATATTTAAATATACAGCTGGTGTTCAGACTTAAACAGAGAAAGACAACTCCTGCACTTTCAGATGGGACCTCTTCTGCAACAGCTGATAATAGCTACCACTAGGTACCTACCACTACAACTGACACTCGGTTGCCATGGTATGTCAGTGCTGACAAGCTCCTGTCAATTCCGTATTATAATTATTTTCATACAATGACCTTAATATAATGCTATTGATTATTAAAGCGGGTAAGTTCCAACAATGCCTGTTAACCAACAGGTTCCACTGTAATAGTGACAGTGGTAGATTCAATTACTTTGGCCATCTTCCTTCAATTAAATTAAGTCAAAAATATTCAAGGATAATTAACCAATACAATTACCATTGAAATAAAAATTTATAAACAGGCAATATAAGTAACACGTTTTCCAAAAACTGTCATTGCCATCCCCCAAAACATCGGCACCAGTTGTGACAGCTCTGAAACATCCTGGACACCTAATGGCAGCTCTAGTGGAAGCCAGACTCAGCTGTTACAAAGGTGCCGAAACCAATGGCATCCCTGATACCTGCTGTGTATTTGATTAATTCAAAGACGGAAGGAGTCGTCTGGATTATTCAGATGAACTTTAGTGAATAAATAGGATGAACGAATCATACATAATGATATACGAAAAAGTGTAGGAATTCAGCTAACATAAGTCTTTCTGCGAAAAAAAAGCTCTTACTAAAATCTTTCTTCTTCGTCTGTCTTCAAGTTCTTCTTCGACTAGTAATAAAGCATCATGGGATATGTAGTCCATTTTCCGAAGCCAGTGGCAACACTTACGGCTAGCCCCGAAAGCAGTGGCACTAATGGCAGGTGTCAGCGGAAGTGCCAGTACGAGGTGCCGAGGTCAGCCGAAGTCAGCCGAAGTCAGTGACAACACTTTCAGCTAGTCCCGAAAACAGTGGCACTTGTGGCGCGTAATGACACCTGCCACCGGAAGTGCCATTAGTAGGTGCGGTGTCACGATTTGCGCTCGGCCCTGCTGCCCCACCATGTGTCCTTAGGCTAGCCTGGGTCTTCATGTGGCTAAACTTGCCAAAGCAAAGAACACAAGCACTGTGTCACATCAGCCAAGTCGCTAAATAATGCACATGAAGGATAACTTTGACTAATATATTAGCTTTTAATTTGCTAGATTAAAATTGGAGGGGGAAAAACAATTTGCCTGTCTTTAAAATATATTTAATATTAAGGGTGTTAAGGAAGAATTTTCTAAATTGGTTAACTTTGGAAAAAAGTTTGGCTCTCTCTTCCTCTGGATCCCAGGTCCTCTCGGCGAGCCGCGTGTGGCCACAAGGGAAACAACAATGCGTGTTGACGTCACAGAATTACAGAGTTTAATCCAATATAATAAGACAATGCATAAACTTACACCAGAAACTGCAGAACAACGGAGACATACATTCATTTACCTGACATAAATGGAAAAAAGGAAAGGAAGAAAAGCAAAGACGTGCAAAGACATCTTTGGAGAGTTGCAAGAGCAAATCTAATGTGTTACTTCTGTGTAGAAAGTTTTATAGTAAAAGGCGTATTCCTATCTTTAATTTATTCAAATAAGGCGTATCTTTGCTCATCCAATCAGGAGCTATCTCTGACCCTCTCTCATGCCAGAAACTCCTGCCGTGTTTACGGCCTTTCACAGATGAGTGTGAAAAGCTACAACTTCCACTGTATTGTTTTCCCACACAGACAAAAGGCAGTTCAAACGATCCTAGCAAACCATCTGCTGGAACTACACTACCAAATTGCAACTGAACAAAGAATTGTTCAGTTGCAATTCTTTAATTTTCTTACTTAGGGCATCTTCCCTAATCCATAAATGTATATATCATTAATTGTCACCACGTACCTGCATGGCATTAATAAATACTTACCTTAACCTAATAAATACTTACCTAGAGCGACGAGACCCACATATTCGTGATCAGGGCGTCCTCCCGCGTCCGTTGATGTATAATATGCGTGGGCTCATTTTACTTCATACTTACCTTTTATTTTTTGTGTGTTTTTTGACGATAACTCGCGAACCGTACGGTTTTCTGCGTCGGACCCTACGGATTCTTGATCAGGGCGTCCTCCCGCGTCCGTTGATGTATAATATGCGAGGTTTTAAGTTTTTTTAGATTTTCCCGCCATTTTCCCTGCTTTATTTTGTGCGTTTTTCGACGATAACTCGCGAACCGTACGGTTTTCTGCGTCGGACTCTACGGATTCTTGATCAGTGCGTCCTCCCGCGTCCGTTGATGTATAATATGCGTGGGCTCATTTTACTTCATACTTACCTTTTATTTTTTGTGTGTTTTTTCGCAATAACTCGCGAACCGTACGGTTTTCTGCGTCGGACTCTACGGATTCTTGATCAGGGCGTCCTCCCGCGTCCGTTGATGTATAATATGCGTGGGTTCATTTTACTTCATACTTACCGTGCATTTCTTGCGTGTTTTTTCGCAATAACTCGCGAACGTTAAATTTTTCTGTGTCGGACCTTACATATTCGTGATCAGCGCGGCCTCCCGCGTCCGTTGATGTATAGTTGGCAGTGGTGCATAGTGTAGATATATGTGATCTAGAATAATCGCAATAAGTTTTTTGCGATTTATTATTCAGTAATAATTCTTTAATTTCCTTACTCAGGGGGTCCTCCCTAATCCGTAAATGTATATATCATTATTTGTCCCAACCTACCTATAATTGCTTAACTTATTTTAATAAATACTTACCTGAGCCTATTAAATACTTACCTTACTTACTTTAACCTATTAAATACTTACATTAACATAATATGGTGTTCTATTTCCAACCTGCTAATAGAAAAAGACAATTAGATTAATAAATTATTAGAAAACACATGTAAATTCCATATTACAAACTAGCCTATTAATTAGTGACATTTCACTTTTCTTTATCTTATTTCGCACTTACCTCCTCGACAGTCAACATCTCCCTTCCTGCTCGTTCCTAGCATATATAAATACAAAATTCAACACATTAAACAACATTTCATATTAATTAGTATATTACACCTCAAATTTCATTAAAAAACACAAGATTAAAAACCGCATTACATTAAAAAATTCTTAACAGTCATCTAATATATAAATACACTCTAACATACTTTCACATTTCATTAGACAAGATTAAAAACCGCATTACATTAAAAAATTCTTAACAGTCATCTAACATAAATACACTCTAACATACTTTCACATTTCATTAGACAAGATTAAAAACCGCATTACATTAAAAAATTCTTAACAGTCATCTAACACATAAATACACTCTAACATACTTTCACATTTCATTACACAAGATTAAAAACTGCATTACATAGAAAAAAATTAACACAGATCTAACACATAAATAAACTATAACGTACTTTCACATTTCATTACATTTTCTGAACCGAACCAAACATCATGGCCCAGTATGAAAATGAGTTGGTCGAAGTAGGCATCCTTAATTCACAGACTTTGAGTGAGTCGGTTTCTCAATTCAGTTCCCTACCGTCCTTCTTAGAAGCAGATGTGGCTCATCCCTTTCATGCCACATTTGTTGCTTCCCCTGAACAGTCACTGAAGTTCAGGTTTGACATTGATGGGGTTGTTGCAGAGCTTCAGCGGGCTACGGCCCTTCTTTCTATTGTCCATTATCTCCTGTTGCCATCAATTCAGGCCCACATGCTTCAGGACAGTTATTTTTTCTTAAAGAAGCATGTGGACTTGAAAAACTGTAGCCCTGCTGGTCTGAAGGCCTTCAAGAACAGCAGTGGCTACACTATTGGACATGTGGACGGTGGGTATCACCTGTCCATCATCTTTCTCCCGAAGTGCCTTCAGGAGCCAGACACCAGGCTCTTTAAAAAGAACATTTTCAACATCTATGCCAGCGAAATGTTTAACTTCATTGTTTATCATTTCCGCATGCTCCTGAAGGCACTTCCAGCCAAAGACAAGGCCAGACCCACCGTCCAAAAGCAGGTTTACTCAAACACAAAGAAATTTCATGTTCTCCGCAAGGACCAAATGTTCATCCTTGACATTTTGGACAAAGCCATCGCCAAAACTGGTGAGAGCCACATCCTCCAGCCTTGCCTGTTTTTGGCCCGTTTTGGCCAGAAGGAGAGGGACACCCTCGACTTGACAGAGTTTGTTGATCCATCAGCCGTGGTGTCCCTGTCCATCCATTCTGCCGTGCAGGTGTACGCACGAGATCCCAGTGTCCACTTATTATTTGCGCGCCAAGGCATGATGGACTTGGTTGGACCTCATGGGTCTCTGTACTCTGTACTAGGCATCCATGAGGCCACCAATTTCCAGAGTGACCTTGGTGGTCGCAAACTTGATCTGGCACCGACATTGGTCGATGCATTGGGAGACTCGGGCACCCTCACATTTTTGCAGTTGTATGTGGACAGTCCCCATGTCCACATACAATTCCCATTCCGGCACCCAGTCAGTGGAGCTATCGTGACGTCCCGGCTTTCTCACCCTCAGTTTCAGCGTTCCTTGATCGCTCGTGCTGAGCAGTACCTGGAACACATGGAGGACCTTACGGGAAAGATGGATCTCCATCTTTCCCTAAGGGTGGAACAGGTACGGCGTTTTGAGGGTGAGATTCCGGGGGAGCTTTCTCCGAAGAGTTTCTTTTGCAAAGAGGCACTGAGAATGCTCTTCGTAGAAAATGCCCTAGTCATGCCCTTCAATGACTCTGGGAGTGACAATGGCCTTATTGTCACTCTCAGGAGGGTTCTTGAGTACTTTGAGCAGGGATTGAGGGAACAGTTCTCCACCTCAGAGGGGGTGGCACGTTTTGATGCCAGCTGGAAGTCCTACCAGTTCGAACTGGCATTGGAAGAGATGTTCTTCGGGCATCCTCTTTCAGTGTCAGACTTCCAGTTGAGCGCCAGCCTGGGAGTCAGCACGTCCAAGCCAAAGAGCCTCACCTTCAGGAGAGGCTTCATTGGGTTGGCCCCTCACACTGCTGCCAGTGCTGGCGAGGTGCCGCCCCCTCTGCACCACTGGACGAGGAATGCGCTCCAAATGTACCGTTTGGAGATCATATTTCCTCTCTGTCAGGTGTTGGAGGCTGTACCCTCTATCCTTGGGGCTGCCTTAGTCCATGTTTTCCTCTGTGATGTGTTCAGGAGGAATGACAACATTCCATACAGTTCTCTCAAGGGGGATACCCCCCCTGGGAGACTGACTGGTGTTACAAACCTGGACACATTTGCAGAGGAACTTTGCAGTAAGAACTGTTTCCCTGCTCCTCTCACCTTTGGACGAGCCCGAGAAATCGTAATTCAGGCCGGGAGGGACCCGCAAGAGGCCCTTGTTGCGGGTTTCCGTGCCCATGAATTACGGTTTCTTCCGGCAGTGAAGTACCGGGACTTCCACAGAGCCCACAAGCTGTTTTGGAATTCCCGGGACTTCACAATCGTCCAAGGTGAGGGGATAAATGTGGAACTTTCAAAACTTGCAACTATCTCCCTCCAGGTTAGGGTAGGGTTAGGTTTTGGGGGGTCTACGGTACCGCCGTTTCCACATGTCCTCGTTTGGGAAATGCTCATGTGCGCTTCCCGAGGCCCAGACGGCATTGCCACCATACAATCTCTGTATGGGTGCGCTCCGGAGGTTGGGCAGGACAGTCAATAGGCCAGAATCCATTAGTAAATTCAAAACCACAATTAGGCCATTTGAATCAAGACATGTTAAGTTTTAAAACTAGCTTATTTTAAATTTATTTTCTCAACAAGGGCTAACGTTATAGTGATTGTGTTTAATAACTTTAGCTAACATTAACTTACAGCAAGGTAGGATTGGCTTGAATTGCTTATAGCTAACATTACAGAGAAAGAGAACATAGTCAATGTTATTTTCTCAAAGAAAATGTAAAGTTAATAAGACACATACCTCATATGTATTAGGTATCAAACTTCGGCTTCTTTTTAAACAGGAGGTCTGGCCGTTATAACTTGTGTTAGGTTTGCGCCACAATATGGAAGATTTCTTCTTCACCAACACACTGCACGCCTGTTCGTGCACTGCTGCCTCTCACTGGTGGAGATGGTGTATTGCACTACTTAGCCCTTGTGTTTAGAAATGGGGTCCATACCAACCGACCCTAAACACGTAAAACTTTTATCATTTGCCACAGTTCTCTACGTTTGCCTCAGTCCTCGCACGCACAAGGGTTAAAACAGCCTTAAATAATGTTACAAATGCTAAGTTCATAAGTACT